CTACTAGCGTGGCACTTGTTACTACTAGTAAGGCACTTGTTACTACTCGCGTGGCACTTGTTACTACTAGCGGTGCACTAGGATGAACAAGCAACTGGTAGGCCACGCAAACAACTGATAGGGTCTCACCTGACAATAGTGGTTTGTACCCTTTCTGGTGTTCTAAGATGGTTTCTAGCTTCAACATGCTTCAACCGCTTCAGCTTCCGCAATGCTTCTGGCACGAACCTGTGGGGCACCAGCATATACCAGCATGACTGCTTGCACAGATGAGGCTATTTCCCGGGGAACTATGTGAGATTGAACGACCGCTGGCTGCTCAGCACCTGACAGCACGTGCAAACCTTGAGGTTTGCTTTCGCACTTCTTTGGATGATCTCATGAGATCGCTAGTTTTTCCTTTTTTTAGCCGGGGGTCCCCATTTTCATGCCAGAGGTGGAAGTATTGACGTGTAAACGCCTTTGACCCCGCCTAAGCATTGAAGTGCAGCTGTTGGGTCTGGGTCACAAGCCGTCGCATCAGTTCACCACTCTGCCATGCGACTCTTGTGAGTTGAAAATAGAGGGTGGCACGGCAAATGCACTTTGAGGGTGGCACGTTTGATCTAGGGACTACCAGGCGGCGCACTGTTGCATTGCAGCCGCGGTGGGTTTTCATGGACCTATTTGTGTGCCATGTTGTTTGCCGCTTACCACTGGCGCCAAAAGTTTGGTAGAGCAGAAACCGGCTTTCCCCAACTGGTTCATACTGCCTGACACTCTTCGCGGGTAAGCCTTAGGTCCTGTTGCGCGTTTTGACTTGCACACCGTCGAAAGAGATCCTGATGAGCCAGAGGCAGGACGATCTCGGCAACCTGCCAGCCCACCCAAAGATACTGTTGTGGCTCCATGTGTCAAAGGCAATGAAAAATAATGCAGAGTAGCCGCATGTGACGACCCAGTTTGGCACTGCTAGATGATTGACAGCTTTGGTATCCCCGTGCGAATACCCCCTACAGAATGATGGGCCTTGAGGCCATAAAACCATGGCCATTTTGTAGCAGCCATACCCGGCATAGGAGCTGATGCCACAGCTTACAGACATAAAAAATCTTACAAAATGAGCCCGTGACATGCATTTTGTAAGAGCCAAGAATACTGATCATCAGTTTCTGGCCTTGACAAAATGAGGTCAGGGCACGCGTTTTGTAAGAAATAACATTGTAAAGACGCAACAAAATGACCTCGGAAGGATCATTTTATAAGAAAGGACATTCAAAGCGATCAACAAAATGACATTGGCAGTGTCATTCTGTAAGAAAAGCCTAACCAAGAGCCAAACAAAATGACCTTGGCTTTATCATTTTGTAAGTGACAACATTCCATGCGTTCCAAGACCGTGCTAGACCCTCCCACAGAACCTCCAGTGCACCTTTTTGTAAGAGATAACATTTCAGACATTTTGATAAGGATACTATTGTATTTATCATTTTGTAAGATATAACATTTCAGACCTTTTGATAAGGATAATATTGTGTGCCTCATTTTGTAAGTGATTGATCACGTTCTTGCAGCTCGGGGGTTTGCGCTTTACGTCGATGGCAAAGACAACAGCCTCGAGACCTCGACAGCAGAAAACAATCCGAGTGCCGACAATTGCGGTTTTTCCGGATGGACTTTCCGATCGGAAACTAACATTAGCTGTCCGTTGAGCCGTCGAGGGGAGCCGCGTTTCTTACAAAATGAGCCCGTGCATTGCATTTTGTACCGGTCAATAATTAATGCTGATGATATATGTACCTCTCAAGATGACGTTGGGCCATGCATTTTGTAGAGACCCACTAGCCATTTTGTAGAGAGTTTAGTGCCAACCAAGTCATTTTGTAGTGTTTTTACTACAAAACGCATTGCCTGACCTCACCCTGGATATTCGCACGGGGATGCTTTGGTTATCACAGCCCATTTGGCTGAGGAGATGATGCCCGAACCTCGGGTACCTATATAGCCCCTATATATATGATATTATATATGTTTATATGTGTGTGTTATTATTTATGCTGTTGGATTGGGATGAGGGACCCTAAGATTTGGAATATCCAAACATATTCAAACAGTTTTGCTGTGGCTTGATGGACCCTTGAGTGGGATCGCTGGCTGTTGTTGCCTTCTTTCTGTTCTGTGGCCTAGGACTGCTCTTGCCGCAACCTCAGATTGGAAACGTTCGATCCGTTGAACCTGCATAGCCACCTCATTAGTCACACGAGCTGAGACTTGAAAAAAAAAAACTTTCCTTGTCGACTGATCAGCAGAAATAGCACGTCAAAACTCAATGCCCAAACCTTGATTGATTGACTGTAAAACACAGGTCTAAGTAACACAATGTCGACATTTGGGACACGTGGGCTGTGATTTCGCTTGAGGTCATGCTCATTCAGCCCTTGGCACACCGACAGCGGCGCTTTTACAAACGCAACATGGTTGCAAGTGAAGAACTAGTTCGAGCATCCCATTTGACAAGAGGTGCATTCTCACGTCAGTCAAATCGCTTGCACCTCTTGCGCATTGGAACGAGAGAGGGTTTGCCGTGGTTTGCGTGTTTTTCCAAGGGAAGCAAGATGGCCTTAATTACAAGGACTTGGGTTGCTGGCTAGTTTCGCCTTTCCATCCAGCTGTCCTTTGTATTGCGTTTTGAAATTGAATGACGAACTTGACCTGTTGAATGCTGTTAGTCGACAGGACACAACGTACCCGAGGGTTATGTTGGTCGTCACAGGCAAGTGATGCTGCTGCAGGATGCTTATTTTTTGTCCTCATGACGCGATTAGCACACCACCTGATATAATGATGATGGGACTACCGAACTAAAAGCCACTCCTGAGGATCAAGCTTCTGGGACTGGATACAGTAATGTCATGACAACCCCACAGATATTTTAAATTTGGGAATGTGCTCTCCAGAACGAATTGAATCTCTTCATGGTGAGCGTTTTTGAAGATTATGAAAGGTGGACTAGATTGATGGGAGAAGTTATGACTTCATAGGGGCTTTGTGGGGATCCCCCCTTCGTGAGCTTAAACAAGAACTTTTGGGGGCGGGTGTGAAGTGGGGTGGTGATGGTGAACAGATAAGTGGGTTTGCGGGCGAGCAAGCCAGCGACTGACATAGAGAGCGAGAGAGACACACTCTGACACTGGTTTTCAGTTAGTTCAATTGCCACGATGGGAAGGAAGGTGAGGGAACGGAAAGGCGCATAAGTCCGCAAAAAACAGTATTGTTGAACAATGTTGGCAGCTGTACTCGAACACGATCTGACACTCAAAGTCGGCTGCAAAACGTCGCAAGATGGCGGTGGGTTTGTAGGAGGAAACATGAAGAACCATGAATCAAAAAATGGAACAGTAGGGTGACAGCTTGCGAAAACCTCAGCAGGTACAAGTGGTTGATCAGGCCACTCATCCACCGAAATGCCATAGCTTCGTTGGACTGGATAGGCAAATCGGCTCCAGTCCCCCTGCTTGTATGGAAAGTGGGAAAGAGAGGAAAACCCTTAGAAACAGGGTGTGACACACACAACAAGCCGAACTCGGCGCGAATGCAAAGCAGTGGAAAAACGGACCTTTTTTTCAAAAACCGCCTGCACGCTTG